TATATATATATATAAGAATAATTCAGTCGATAATGTAACTGGCTACAGACTGAAGGAGATCGAAAGTAGGAACTTCTCACTTCGGAGAGTACGAAGATGGCTGTCTTCTGGGATGTAGCCATGTAGTTTGGTAGAATTTTACCAACGTTTCAGAGGTTCTTGTTGCCTCCATCATCAGTGCTAACGCCTCTGAAACAGTGGTAAACTTATACCAGACTATAAGGCGCTGCATCCGAGAAGAGGGGGAGTTCGATTCTCGGCAGGGACAATGATTATTATATTCATGTTTCGCGAACTGGGAGATTTCTCTTGCGAATTTAAAGTGTCCACTCTTCCCCCAGTATAAAGAGACAGAGGCGATCATGCTGATGGGCTGTATGCTAGGGCGGTTGTTCAGGAGTTCATCATTTATGACGACGAGCTTATTTCATCGCTTGACTAAATTTCTCGTGGGTCACCGAGCGAGACCTCCAAGCTCGTAATTATAAGCATGAACACTTGGACATGCCGCGAAGATGCAGACTCACACATGCTGTGACGTCACGTGGAGCCAGACGACTCGCCCCGTCATCTCTCGCCTTGTGATGTCTCTGAAATCTAATTTTGAGGAAAGTGTGAACATGATGCAGTTTGACATTTTCCCTCCACATTTTCGCTTTAGGTTGTTTCTTTTTCCATTAATTTCACTAAGTGCATAAAAGAAGTTTATGATGGGTTACTTACTAAGAAGCCAACAGTCGCTCAGCCAATCAAGAAATTCCCAACATTTTCTGCAACCCGGAGGAAATACAAATAAACACAATTTCTAGCAATGTGCAGTATTTTATTTCCAACTGTGCGTTTGTATCTGCAACAGAAATGGATGAAGGACAACGAGGCACGCAAAAGGTGCAGTGTCTCCAGTTCTTTTTAGTGTCTTCGTAGATCTGCTAGGTCTATGCAAGTCAGTTCCGCAAAATAAGCCACATCCAGTTGGTTCTATTAGCTATACTTCAGTTGGTAAAGACAGCTGGAGCGTACAGCTTATTCGGCCCCGTAAAGCATTACCTTCACGTTATTG